TTGTGATCAAAAAGAAAAGTAATAAAAGGAAAAGAGTGTTTTACATAAATGAATAGACTAGAATAATTCCATTTTAAAGTTTTATAGTTTATGAAAAAGATTAAATTAATATAAAAGATATGAGTGTTAATTATAATAAATTCTTACAAAATAATTTCCACAGATCACAAAAGTTATTGTTCTGTCAATTATTATAATATGTATGTTTTTTTATTTGACCAGACACATTGATATTCACATAGAATTTGATTGTTTATTATTGTGCATCTATAATAAGCATCATATAATCCATATTCTATCTGTAAATTATTCGTCATTGTTAGGATCGATTCAGAAAGAAACAAGATTTATTAAGAAAATACAAGAAAAGTATGTTAATGGTTGATATACTGAATAATCTATATGAATCTATAAAAAGTAAATATCTACTCATAACTTTATAATCGTGTCTCTTGGATTGTATTATTGATCAAAGAAGAAAGTTGAGAATTTTTTTTCTCGGTGTTTGATTTTTGTGGATCCATTAAAGAATGCAAATAGGATAACTCTATTAATGATATACTTTCATTTATTCGTCGAAGTGAATCTTCTTGAAGTAAATTCAAAATTTGTTGTGGTTGACAATTATTCATGTACTGGCTCAAGTAGAGCAAACTTCGAGCATCATGATTCATAAGAAGACAAGACATTTGAACAAGATTATGTTCTAATAACCGATCTTGTACTTGTTTTTGTGTCCATTGAAGAATATTCTGAGAAAATATTGGTGAGACTGAGTTCTTCGGTGAAGATACAGATAGAGTAGGATATCCAACAGTAGCATCTGCTTTAGGTCGAACAGGCACAACATTAGTCTCACAAATATGTTCAACTTTAAGTTCTTTAAATAACATTTTCATTGCTTGAGAAAATTCGTATTTATTAAAATCAATATATAGTAAATGACCAATAAGAAATGAAAGCCATCCATCAGGTTTATATTGTTTTTGTGAAAGAAGAGGAACTATCTTACATTACTGTCGAAATGCATCTTGTGCTTTGGCACGACAGTAATTACTTTTGTGGAACTCATATATATTTTCGAAGGAAATAGTGAGTGTCAGTTTTAAGTTCAAGTTATTGCGGCTGCCCGCTTCCCTCCATCCTCGCCTTACAGACACATTGTAACATAAGGCCCCATTGCAGACAAATAGCAACGTACGCTCCTATTATAGACAGACCCTCTTTCTCCTCCCTTTCCCTGCCATTAGAGACCTTAGCAATTAAGAATAACAGGCGTCAGATGTTCTAGTTTTTTTCTGAAAAATTGATCAAAGTTATAATTTTTGAAAGATAATCAACATCATTGTTTGTGAGTTGATTAATATATATAATAGTGCATAAGATCTGCTGTAGATATAATGGATATGTAAAACAGACATATTTGTCAATTAATTCAATGATTATAATAATAAGAATGTTAAGCTGTGAAAAATAATTAAAAAAAAAAGAAAGATAATGAGCGAATAGAAACAATGCAAAATAAAAATCGGGCGCTTTCAAACAAAAAAAAGCTTTCTGTTTTAAATGTAGAAATAAATAACAAAGTCTCGCTCTTGTCATTGATTAGCAATGAAAACAACTACAGTGTACACGAAATTTTTCAGTTTACATATGATGTATTAGAATATTAAGGTTTAAAGATATATGTGAGTTCTATATTTCAGCTCTAAAGGAGCTGCACTAACAAGCTTTTTTGATGCTATTCAGATACTGGGATCACGTGATCGATCGAGTTGATCCCTCCATCTACCCTTCGTGATCAAGGGTGACATTTTCGCAATTCCCAACTGTTCATGTGATTTTCGAACGATTGTAATGAAAAATATTATTTTATTTAATCTGGCATAAAAGAGACAATATTTAAGCAAAGAAAACCATATTTGATGTATACAATAAATGTTGTATATTACGGCAAGATTAGTACTATTTATCGCATTAAACTATTCGAAAAAAAAAATGCATTATTTTAATTCAATGTTTGTCTTAACATTGACAACAAGATTTCATTATATGCACTGAAGTCGATATATTTATATATCTATACGTAAATAAGAGATGATATAGAACAAGCAAAACATTCGTAAAAAAAAAATCAATGTCTATTGACTAGCTCGTTGATGCTCGTTTTATTGTTGATATCTGTGATTGTTGTTGTTGTTGTTGCATTTGAGTACATTCAGCACAAAACCATT